GAAATGATAAGGCGATCCTTTTCATCGGTACCGTGATGCCAATTATGTCAATATTACCTTCTCTTTTAGCTCAATGACTTTGTCCCGAGTATTCTTTTATCCTTTCTATAACGAATATTTGAACAAATTTATGTTTCGTAGTGTATGAATTTTAATTCCCAATAGTTTCCTTCTGCATTAAATATTTTGTTCATTTGAAGGCACGACCAACATATTGAGCCACAAAGAATGGGCGAGCCATTATCAGAAGCCTGCCGCTCTTTTTTTTTTTTTTTTTTTTTTTTTTTTTTGGCTGTTTAGTTGGTAATTCGTGTTTAAGGGAAATTTCAGCGCAGGAGAGACAATTTTTACCCGAGTCTCGTTCTACTGAACCTCAAGATAAGAAATTTTCTGAATTAAAGTTAATAACTGCAGGCTTTTAGAAGTCTCACGGTGGGCTCGACACGTCTCTGAAGAAATCATCACGTCATTTCATAGATACCCTTTTCCATCTTTTGATCGACAAGAAATTATACCCACTGGATAATTTTGTTGACCTTAAATCTCCATCCAAAATCCAGGCTTTTGCGACGAATCCTTCTTACGTTTCATATCATGGGGGGAAAAAAACCATTCTATACGTTGATATCACATTTTTGATAATGTGGAATCATCGCTCTAACTTTCGTAGCTCATATGATTAATGTTGAAATGCCTATTATTCTAGGGTTGGTTGAAGCAGGATTTTTCGAGCAGGTATGAAGTTACACCCTCTCTCTCTCAATAGAGCATGTTCGTTTTGTTAGTTTTTAACAATTGTCGTTCATGCAGCGAGAAGACATCCAAACTGAAAGATGGAAACGATATTTTTGTAGTTAGATAACCGATCGTTGCTCACTAATTGACTTGTATGTTTAAAATTTGGTGTGATGCCCCCGAAAGTTCCCAGATGAGACCCTCGATTTTGACATCATAATAACATAACCTAAAAATAAAATTGCACGGACTCAATTTAACAGCTCGAGTACCCACCTCTATTAGGCATATAAATTTTGTCTTTTTTTTAATAGCGGCAACCCCGCAATAGCGTTTTTCCGCCCTTAGGCGCAGCGCGAGTTGACGCGGCGGGCACAACGCTGCCGGAATGCTAAATACAGCAACCACTGGCCATGCGCGTAGTTGCCATTTTGAATTTGTTTTCTATCACATTTAAAACGAGAAACTCGCCTCCGAACATGGCGGTCTCAGAAGAGCTCCTGTGGGTCCACGCATAGGCGGTGCGTGTCAGGGACTACTTTTTGCGAATGCTGGGGTTAACTGGCTATTTCTCGGGAAATCGGGAAAAAGTCATCAATTTTTAGCACCCCCGCCGCACATTGGATCGACTCAATCAGAGAGGTCGGACATGAAATTTTTTACTAAAATCGCAAATTTTGATCTTTACTTCGTCACATTTTAAATTTAAGAGGTGCTGCTAGCAGAAAATTTCGCGAGGAAACCAATGGAACCACTTTTAGAACCTCGTGGTTTTGTATAGACGGAGTTATAAGCGTTTAAAGTTTCAAAATTTTGTCCGACCTCTCCTACTGACTCGATTTCAATGTGCGTCGCCACTTTTTGACCCCACGCGCCGCTTATGGTTCCGGCAGAAACAGGGAGCTAAAACCAGTGATATAATAAGTGAAAAGAGTTTCCTCACAACGGCGAACATATTCCGAAACACAATCAAAATGAGAGCTAGAAAGGATAAACCGTATCCATGCCGTTTATTAAGACCTCATTAATAAGATGAGATTTTGTCAGGAAATAAATCGCTTAACCATCTCAAAACAGTCAATAGTATCAATGCAACCAGCGTACCGTTTTTTGAAAGTTTAAAGCAGCCCGATAAGACATCGAATTGCGATGTATTGCATGGTTAAGATAGGGCTATGTCTTGGCGTGTCGGGCCGACATAGTTTCAATAATCGGGCCGCAGCAAAGTTTCCCACGTGTCATCGAGAAAAACATTGCTTTCCCGGAGAAATTTTAAAGCGAATCAGTATTTTTATATTTTGTTATTAATAACGAAGTCTTGAAAAGAATAATCATCTGATAATATGATCTACTGCGGAACAAGATTTGCTGACAACATAGGACTCAAATCTTTGAGGTAACTCTCGCTGTTCTGAGTATGTTTTCTGGCCTACCTCGAAAATTGAAGGCGGAATAGCAATGCGTGTAACTCCCATACTCTTTCCGCGTGAATTTCAACCTCTTTTAAAATGTCAATCAGAGAATGACACTGGATATGACTGAGAAGGCTGGAAAGCTTGGAAAGCCTGATGCTCTCTGACAAAATTCTACATCGACATATTGGCACTCCAGACAATTTTTAAAAACAGAGAATTGAGGCTTCTCCATTTTTCAAAGGGATGAGAGAAGAACATATTGCTTGATCCTCGCCATTATGTTACGTAATATACACTCTCGCAACTTTGATATTTTAATAACTGCATATGACTAAGGTACTTATTCTTGTAAATATTAATACAAATCACTTCCGCACAAACCTCAGCCGTCCTTGAAGTATCTTCATGCCCTCGAAATAACCACGAGAGATTTCTTTAATAATTGGGGCTTGGAGGACAAGGCGCAGAATTGCAGTTTTTGAAAAAATTGAGATAGTAGTGATTTCAAGTCAAACTAGTCTTAAAGCATATTCTGTGAAAAACTCGCTTCCAAATTCCAATTTTTAATCATCTAAAAGTCAGTTTGAACTTTCTTTCCGTCATAGGGATCCATGTAATGTCAAAACGTCAAACACGTATTTCTCAAAATAGCAAAAACTGCACTTATGCGCCTTGTCCTTCAAGCCCCTCAATTGGACCACATTTTGCAATAAGGAACCACTATTTTTGGCTCTTTTAGAAACGACATTTGTGCCATTTATTGCAAAATGTAATCCAATTAAGGTACGTACCTATGCCGAGTTAACCTCTGACTCTTAGTTGCCGTTTTTAAAGTTTTACCCTTTCCGCGAACTCTTCCTGTGGATGACGAACAATCTCTGCTAAATTTCGTAATCGATACCCAAGGATAACATCGCCTCAGTTTTTAACGCTGTTTGCAATAAGTTTGCCACGTAATGTGCATGTTGTCTTCGGATTGCCTGAGTTTTTCCAGTTACAAAATATTCAGCATGCTCTCGCACCTTCCCCTTTGCTTTAAAAGTCGGCGCTGCGTCCAATTTCTGCTGCATGACTGAGCACTTAATCAGCACCTTCTCAAGTGCGCACGATTTCAATCTCTGGTAAGTTTATGTAGATTCATTTCTTAAAGCTTTTACTCCAATGTTGGTGTTGGGAAGTTCAAGTCATAGTAAAATCTTATGTCCAGGTTTAGAAAATATTTGACGTAGTAAGAGTAAGAGTGACAGTAGTATTAGACGTAGTAAATTTTACAATGTATTACAGTAAAAGTTACACCCGCGGTTGAACTGATTTTTGCTCAAAGGCAAAAGTCCGTTTGAAAGTCTCAAAATGTCCACGAACTGCATTGAGAAAAAAAGGAGGTGTTAGCGTTTCGGGCATCTTGGATTTTTTTGATGCCGTAGGTCGGTACAGCGACTTTTATCATCAATTTTCTCGGAAATGGTGTAATTTATGGAAAAAAGTCATTCAATCAAAAGTGCTTTAAATTATATTATGAGTTGATTTAAGCAAAAAAATGGGACTTTATGGTTCGTTTTTCATACTTTGAATTCCGGATTTCGCTTGCCAGGTTGTACCGACCTACGTCACAGGGTAAACAAACCTCAAGATGCAAACACCTCTTTTTTTTCTCTATGCACGAACTGTTTTTGTTCGCTACCTACGGTTTGTGAACTACCGAAGAAATATGTCCGGAAATGTCTATTTTAAGGTGGTATTTATTTGTTGTGCTCTGTGATGAATTGAAAAGATCATTCGATTTTCAGAAGTTTTCCCGTTTTCTCTCTCTCTCTCTCTCAAGAGTATTACTATAAAGATGAGAAAACACATTCTAATATACCTACTTCTTGCTTGTGAGCTTATACTCTCAGCCTTCTGACAGTATATTAAGCGTTAATTTTTGGCTACCTATCCAGTCGCTCAGATGTTGTGTTTTTCCGTTGTTTTCTCAACAAATTTACCGCCGCTTGATTTAAAAAAAAATAGTAATTGTAACTATTCCAAAGAGTAAAATATTCAAAATAAATCCTTCTAAGGCTCACAATTCCAGGTGTCTTACTGTTTTTTTGGTTTTTTGCCTAAGTATAATCAGCTGCTAAGAAATTGGATTTTTAATGACTGCCTTAAAAAATTTATTTTTTTGGGTATGTTCGCTGATTGATTATTGAGAAATAAGTAAATTTCATGTACTTAATATTTCTGAGTCCATTTCTGAGCGAGTAGTTACTTAAAAAATAAAACTAATATATAATCTAAAAGCTATGATAGGTAGTAATCTCACCAGCAGTTCATTGGGAATTTTTTAGCTGAGGTATCTGAGGCTCAAAGATCAAAAAAAGACTATGGGCACTTACATTCTAAATGATCCCCGATTTTTCTCGCAGAGCTATGCAAACATTTGGACCACATTTTGCAATAAGGAGCCACTATTTCTGACTCATTTTAGAAACAACACATGTGTCATTGGTTTCCCTATGCAGATATGTGCTTTTATGGAAGTGCCAGAAATAGGGGTTCCTAATTGCAAAATGTGATTTATTTGTTCTGTAAAAAAAACTAATGAAGTTAGAACATCAACACACCTTCAGATTAGTGCAATTTTCAGCTTTCCACAGCACGTCCGAGTTCATCTTGATACAATTTTGGTATGCTTCTCCCACCCCCTTGTCCTCATCCCTTGAATTCCAAAATCCGGCATTACTCGTCACGGGGAACTTACAGAAAGCTCACCATACCATCAAGTTTTTTTGTCCTCCTTTCCGACTTTTAATTCTGTGGCTTATTTATCAAGCTTTGTTTACTAATTTACATACTCTCTTTTCTTTTCAGAAATTAAAGCTCGCAAAAAGCAGTCAGGTATGTTCGCAAATTTTTGTAGTTTGCAAGTCTTTGAACTGTCTTAAATCATCAGGTCCGTATCAGCGCTCAGAGGCCTGGGGTGCGCGGCGGGCGGCGGGTAAAGGTGCCTGCACATTGCGGGTTGTATACTTCGTAAATTGAAGGCTATCCTCGTTTCCAAGAAAACGAAGGGTCCGGAACTTCATGGGCCCCGTGACCCCTAAAGCCCTAGTTTTAGGACCTCTTCGACTCCTCACATTCTTCAAGATGCCGCAATCACACGCTGAATTTAGCAGCTGAATGTAGAAGTCAACAGTCATCGCCCAACGGCTGAAATTTCGCAAATTCGAGTTATTTTCATCCAGATGTGTATCAAATCTACTCGAATAGTTCAGACAAATCCAACATTAGTCCGACGGTTGCTGAGAATCGTTGCTGAATTTTGCGCGTCACGCGCAAAATTCAGGCATCTGGCCGATGACTTCCACATTCAAGCCACATTCAGCTCCCACATTCAGTGATTGCGGCAATACTCCAGGGGCCCCCAAGAGATTTGATCGGACCACTCGCAGGGAGGAAAAATTGGAAATAATAATAGAGAAAACCTTTCCAGGGGGCTCAGAGTGCTACAGCAGCTCGGCTAATCCGACGACACCCCCCCCCCCCCCG